AGGTCCGTTGGCTGCGTGGGCAGGTCGGCGGCGGTTGAGCGTTGACGTCGCGGGATAGGTGCAGCTGAGAGTTTCGTGCTTCTCGTTTGGCTTTGGCGGCGGCGATGCGGTTGACTCCGTAGATCAATACGCCTGTCCTTAATGTCCTCCACGTGGTCAGTCTCGGGCGAAGCTTTCCCAGTTGGCCGGCTTGATCAGCAGACGCTTCAGAGAGGACTTCAGAGTGTCCCTGTCGCGGCGGATTTTACTTCCTAGGCGATGGGAACCCGCAGCGACGTCTCCATAGAAGAGTCGTTTTGGGTAGTCGCTCGTCATCTATCCGCACGAGATGGCCGCTCCTTCGCAGTTGCAGCTGCAAATGGCTCAGCATGGCGTAGATGCTGAGGATTCCCGTCCGTTCCAGCACATCAGTGTCGGGGATTCGGTCCTGCCAGTTCAGCCTCAGGATGCAACAAAAATATCGGCCGTGGATATGGTTGAGTCGGCTTCATGTAAACCGTCCAAGTCTCCGCTCCAAACAGTAGCGTCAGCAGGATGACGGCCTTGTACATCTTCAGCTTCGGGCCCAGTTGGAGACCGTGACGATTACAAACTGTGCTTTGGAGGCCACCGAAGGCTTGATTGGCTTTCGAGATCCTGTTCGCGACTTCGTCATCGATCTTGGTGTTGCGGGAGATGTTACTGCCCAGGTACGGGAAGTTCTCCACCACTTGCAGTTGGGTTCCGTTCACACTGGTTCGCGGCGCGTTGGGAAGAGTGGTTGAGTTGGGTGGCGGTTTGTGCATCATCCCCGTATTCTGTGTGTTGATGACCAGACCGAAGTTCTCGCAGGCGGTGGAGAAGGGGTCCATGCTGCGTTGCATCTCCTCTTCCGAGGTGGTGTTCAGGGCGCAGTCGTCGGCGAAGAGAAGTTCGTGAACGGTGGTTATGGACATGCGCGATTGGAAGTGCGTCCGTCGTTGATTGAGAAGGTGACCTTCGGTCCTGTAGGCGATGCGGATCCCGGGGCGTTCGTCGCGGTAGGCGTCCATCAGCATGGCAAAGAACATAAGACTGAAGAGGGTAGGCGCCAGCACGCTTGCCTGCTTCACTCCGTTGGTCACTGCGAATGCCTCTGTGACAGCTCCGTTGTCCGTGACTCGCGCTATCATACCGTCGTGCAGCTGACGCACCATCTGAGTGAATCGTTGCGGACAGCCGAATTTCTGCCTGCTCTTTCACAGTCCTTCACGATTCACCGTGTCGAAGGCTTTTGTCAGGTCCGCATCTCCTGGCACTTCTCCTGAAGTTGACGGGCGGCGAAGATCATGTCCGCGGTTCCGCGAATGCGGCGGAATCCGCATTGGCTTTTTGCCAAAGATCTTGTTCTGTGTGGTTGTTCAAGCGGTTGAGGATGATGCGAGCAAAGAACTTCCCAACCATGCTCAATAAGAAGTTGCCTCGATGGTTGTCTCGGAGCTGGTTTTTTCATTTCCGCTTGTACAGATGCACGCTTGTGTCGTCTTTGAAATCCTTTAGGACTTCTTCTTTATGCCACATCTCCTAGAAAAGCGCAGTCAGATGATCCATGAATTGGGCTCTACCTCGCTTTTGGATCCCAGTAGGGATTGCGTCCGATTCGGTGCTTTTCTGCTGGAGAGCATTTGCACGTCCCTGATGGCTTCGGTGAGGGAGGGCGGAAGTAGAGGTCAACACTGGTCTCCGCTTGCGGCAGGCGGTCGATGGCTGAGTCGGAGATGGTGGAGATACGGTTGAGGACGCCTCGGATGTGATCGGCCCATCGCTGTAGTATATGTGTCCTTTCAGTAGGTCAGGTACTGCCGTCAGTGCTGAGGAGAGGTGCAATTCCTTAGGTTGGCGGACTGTGGACAGCTTTGATAGCGATGAAGAAGTTCTTCCGTTCTTTGCGGTTCGCATATCCTTGGATCTCCTCAGTCTTGCGAGCCCTCCAGGAGTCCCGTATCTCGCGCAGTCGCTGTTGTAGGAGACGACGGCTGTGGTAGAAAGCAGCTCGTCGTCGTCGGTTTGGCGAGTTCCAGATTTTTTGTGCAGGCGGTTCTTCTAGTCGAGCCGCTTGCTGATGGCGGCGTCGTTGCCGTCGAAACTGCCATGGTGTTGGCGGCGTTTTCGACCAAGTACGGCCAGCGTTGTCGATTGGACGGTTTCCGGCAGTTAACACCTTTGGTGCTCCACGGAGGCGTTCCCGTCAGCGGCGGCAGGGTCGAGAATGGAACCCAGAATCCTCTTCTGCTGAACCCCACTGTGCATGGTTTCCCATTCGGATTTGGTGTCATCATTAAGAACACCCTGACATCTGCCTGAGAAAATGTCGACCGACAATTTAACTAGGTTTCCCGTCACACTCATATAATAATAATAATAATGACTGCATTTAATGCCGGCTTACAGGTATTGTCGGGGGAGCGCTAAACACAAATCCGGCCAGCAGTGAAAAAACACCTGTCAAAAAGGAATAAATATAAAGTTTATGGTGGTTTTTTAGAGCTTGGAGGGTTCAGGAGAAAAAAACTGCTGCCCACTAAATGCCGATAGTCGAGAAAGGGAGGGGTAACACTGCATCGGATATTATCAGTCGCCAACTCTTTTCACGAAGGTGGGGCTGATCCAAACAGAAGCGCCGAAGAACAGTTGTCGCTGATGGCTAAAGAAACTGTCCCTGGTGAGACCGGCCATAGAGATAAGAGACCACAAATGCCATCGCTACGGTATAGTCGAGCAGTGAATTCAGCACCCGAAATTTGTGGGAGTTTTTCTGAATGCAAAAATCGAGTAATAGTTCTCTTACACGAAGCATAATTTTGCAGACTTTTCATATTCCTGGGTAGTTTATTCCAAATAGCAATTTCATTTACAGAGATTAGATCACTAGATCACTTTTAGTCGTCTCTATTGCATCCAATCCTAGTCATTGTCTGGAAGGTTGAGATCTTCAAGCAGAATTACCTGTCTGATATGACAGATTTACTTAACCTCCATGATGAATGCATCTTCCGTGTCCTTCATTCATCCTTGTGGTCTATATTCGAGTGCAATATAGAGGTCCGGTTGGTTTGGTACTGTCAAGTTTCAACCAAGGTTCTTTAACCAGTGCTCCCTTTCGATGACGACCCATGACGACCCGTGATGGGACCCCGACGGGTCTTTAATAAAAAATTATCTATCTATCTATCTATTACGTAATTAACGTCATCTCATGTGAAAATCGTGATTTCCCCACCCACGAATCCATATCGAGCCCTGCGGGCAAACTTAAACCCATCCATCCTGACTTCTGTCTCTAGTAACTGTTCATCTATCCATGTTTCACATATGGCTACGAGTGCTAGTGCTAGTTCTTCAGTTGCAGATGCGGATGCTTCTTTCTTTGCCATAACCATCGTTGCCAATAACATCGCGAATCCACGAATGAGATAACCCTAATCTACAATCTACAGACTGAACATGAATGTAAAATTAACAGCTGGACATTTTGTGAATGGCGTTTTTGGGAGGGAATTCGGGGTTTATCCTTATTTTTTTTATGGAATCTTGTCCCAAACTGCAGGCTGAAATTTGCTGAAAACTCCGTAAATATTAATTTAGTCAATGTCATCAATTCATTTATACGAAACAGATTATTAACCTAGGCCAATCTGAGCTAGGATTTTACAGTTCCTACCCATTTAATTTCGGCTACACGATTTAGATGAAATATAACTGGCGTTGATACGGCGAAAGTACAAGACAAAAACTCCCTATTCCAGATTTCTGCGAGGCATCTTCGTGGTGCGCATGTCTTTCGTGCTCCCAAAAATTCTAGGAGAAGCTTAACAAGTTCCTAAGAAGTCATTGGTTCCGGACAAATCCTGTGTTTTCGACTGCGGCCAATCTTAGACATCCAAAAGTATACTGTTAGTTAAAATCCTGTCCCTGAGGACGCAGCCTCTGTTATTTCCCTTTTGCGGGTCATGTTGGATTTCAACATCTGTAGATAATTTTTTAGGCTTGACCCTGATTTACCTTGCAGGCTAAAGAATTGGGAACTGAAGTCAGAACTCCCACAGACTGACAGGCCCAAAGCTAATTTTAATGGGCTGAAATTCAGTTACATAAAAGGAAAGTGAGGCCTGTCATAGTCACCAGTAGCGGTCGCCGGCGTAGCTGTAGCCTGGGCCGCTTTTTTGTTTGGATTATATCTGGATAAGGAAATGGATGTGCATAAATGCTCTGTCAATGTAAAGACGATACTCGACATCTCATAAGAGTTTTAAACTGTAAGACATTGTTGTCTATGTCCCTCAATATTAGTTCAACTGAATTAGTTAACCCAGGTTAACATAGCTCGGGCTTACGAAAATTCAGGCTCGTTCCGAGTCCGAGTTCCCCACATCCTCTGAACTTGACTCGGATTCTAAAATTCTAATTCTGTTTTTACTCAAGCGGGAGCCTTATTTCCCGCATAAGTGACCCTGCCTTGGCTCTCATATCCCCTTCCGTTTTAATTTCTCTAATAGACCTACTGTAGAAAGACTGTTGAACATTATTCATTGACCACACAAAAGTCATCATTGATCTACACTATGATAAATAAGTGACTAAAATGACATGTACAGGTGTGCAACTGTACACTGCTACCTCTACCTACCCCTACCGCTGACCGACGTTCCGCTTCTGAAAAATGTCTGCTTAGGATGTTGTAAATGAACAAAGTAGGCCCGTCTTACCAGGATGACACAATGAGTCTAACTCAGGAGGGCGCGTATTCCGTGTTGCATGCCGTAAAGAGTTAGATGACAGGTTATCGCAGCTCTGAATAGGGCTCGGAAAATGCGGTCGGCGAAAGCCGTAATCCGGTTTTCTCTGAACGTTGACAAGTACGAGATCTGGCGGACTAGCCGTTATGTCACTAGTTACTTGCCACCTGTTTCCTGTATGCACTATTTGACAGTACACAGGTAAACCCGCCATGACCCTTCAGGGCGACCATGTGTTTGGGCACGAACCCAATAGGCAGGGGCTCAGAGGTCGCGCAGTCTGTCAGCGCATCGAGCTTCTACCCCATAAACTCATCCGGAAATTCATATCATGGGAGTTTCGCATGTGCTGATGCTGACACTGTACCAGTCATCTGATGCACGCCTTAGCAAACGTGTTTTTTCGGGATACCCTATGAACATGCTGCTATTTACGACGCCAGTGATTATTGTCTACGAAGAAAACCTTAATTTGGTAAGTGCTTACCACCACTTGTTGGAAATTCCGCCGGGCAGTGTTCCACTGGAGTCGCATTCACTGGCTGCGGTCCTGAAAATGAAGGAAATTAAGCTCGAAGTGTCACTTGCTGTAGTGAAGTCGCGACTTTTGTTCCACCACCTACTGTTGTCACTTGAAAGGACAAAATCAAGACGCCTGGATATGAGTGTGAACGCAGCGACTGATATAGCCAAACAGCCCGCCTACGCGTGCAACATACGACCTGGTCCCTAGACCACGAAACAGACTCCAGATAAGAGTGCGATCTCGGTTCTCACGTACCGGAGTGTCATAAAGGCGCTAAAGCCTCAGCTTGGGCTGGGTCGGATTGTCTTGTCATTTGATCACCTTAAAAGCCAAGACCGTTAGTTTGTGAGTTTATTTGTCCATCATGAAGAAACTGTGCATCTTTTGCCTCATTAAGGTTGTCGGCAGTCGGTTGATGAGATTGAGTACATCGGCCGACATGGAGTGAGCTACTTTCCAACGGACGTAGTTTACATATGGGGTAACGATTAAGGACTTGTGCAGACAGCGAAACCCAACTATCACATTTAACGAGCCGACGTGACTTTCTCGTGATAGAGCTGCGCATCGGTGCGGCCTATTTGAGAATCGTATGATAATGTGAGACTTTTCGATATGAATAAATGGGTACATTGCCACGTAGAGTCGCGTCTGACTCTTATCGAACGCACCAACAGCGTACACCGGCAGCTACAAATCCATTAAGTGTAGTCACGAGCTACTAAGCCCGACGCCTCGAGCCATTGCCGGCCTCAGCTGATTTGGGAAATTCGATCAATTTTTTAATTATAACTCGAAAGAAATAGAAGGAATTAGACCAACGCGGCCCATTTATCTATTCCATGGTCAGTCCCTAGTGTAATCTTGGTGGACTCACTAGCACTGTGAACCCTCA